GATGCATTTTTGGGATTGACAAAGTTTGGAGGAAAACGACGCTTTGAAATGGGCAAAACACCCTGTTGGGGCATTTCCCCCCCAAGAATTCTGGTTTCCTGGTTGAGAACGATGGCTGGATTTGAAATTGAAGCGCAGCAGGGTACAAAGAAATGAAAACGGTCAACGTCAAAGTGCTGGGAAACGATCCGCGTGAAACTGGCGGATGGGCCCGACGCAATTTTCCTTCCCAGCTTCCGTGAAACTCTTGGAGATTTAAACTTTTGCTCCTGATTTGGGACGGGAAAATTATCCGCTCTCGTGAAAGTGTTTGCAAGACAGGAAATCTCTTTCCAGCCCAGCTCCTCTGCTCCGACTGACTGGTAGGGACGTCTCTGGGACCAACACCAAATGATGTAGAGGCCCCTTTCCAACGCCCCACACACTTCTGCGGCCTGTGCAGGAGCCCTCCCCAGCTGGTGTGGAACTGGCTTGTGGGGTGGCCAAAGCTGTTGTCAGCTCCTGGGGGTTATGGGTGTGGAAAGCATGAGTTAGAGCAGCCCCAAAGCTGCTGTTGCTGAGAATACGGATCAGACAGGACCCAGCACACAGATAACAGCAAGGTGGCTCAAAGCTCCGGCTGCCTCCAACCACTTCTGGGCATGTCCCAAACACGGGGAGCAGTTAGGGGAGAATTAGGTCTCCCAGGCCAATCCCCCCTTCTCGAGCCACTGGCTCCAACTTCCCTCCCAGAGCTGGGGTGAGAACCCAACAATCCTGGCACCCATGAGCTCTGCACTAATCACCAGACCCCCCTCTCCTCCCACAGCCAGGGGTAGAACCCAGGAGATCTGACTGCCGTGTCACTGCTCCATGCTGCCTCTCGGCAGCAGGGTTGTTTGCCTGGCACGTTTCACCAACGCTTGGCTCACACGCTTGTGTACATGTGCCAGCTAATGGGCCCTCCCCCAGCACCGTTGCAGGGAAGGAGGGGAAGGGGCTATGCGTGAGTGAGTTCCTCCTTCGTAACCGCCTTCCCCAGGGTCAGCTGCCGCATCCTGTTTCTGCAGAGGTCCCCAGTGAATTGGAAAGGAGCCGTGGGTTCATGCCCCTGATGGCTTGGGTGAGTCACGTTATTGTGCTGGGCCTCAGTTTCCCCATTTGTGAAACAGGGATGATACTTGCTTTGTCTATTTGTCCCCTTGGGCAGGGACTGTCCCTCATTCTGTCTGTGTGATGGCCCAGCGGGGGCCCCGATCTCAGCTGGCACCTGTGCAGCGCCCAGCCCAGCGGGGGCCCCGATCTCAGTCAAGGTCTGTGCCGTGCCCTGTTCTCCAGTGTTGCCATAATAAGTAGTAAGTGACTTGCCCAAGGCGACTCAGAGAGGCTGCTTCAGAGAGAAAGGATGGCCCAGTGGTTAGAGCACTCACCTGGGACTTGGGAGAACTGGGTCCAAGTCCCTGCTCCTCCCCTCACTCCTTGTGTGACCTTGGGCAAGTCACTTAGCCTCTCCGTGCCTCAGTTTCCCCATGCGTACAATGGGGATAATCACCCTCAGCCATGCGGCGTTATGCCAGCTGGGGGTCCAGCCCAGTGACCCCTAATGGAGCTGTGCCCATTTACACCAGGATCTGGCCTCAGTGACCCCCCCACAGCACAACCCCCTTTGCACCAGCTGGGGATCGGGCCCCCGCTTTCCGAGCACGCAGCCCCTCCACTGAGGCTGCCAGCGCTGCTTACAGCAGGTTCAACCTCTGCAGCGTCTCTTCTCCGGCGCGAGCAGCCAGCAGCTCTGCCAGGGAGGATGAGGGATTGCTGAGCCGTCTCTCTGCGCCAGCCCTGCAGTGCAGCCACTCCCACGCCCTGGCTGCCCGGGCACGGCTCGCCTCGCGCTGCCTGAAGGCAGGGTGCTGGAGAACTCAAGGCCCTGGGTTGCCCAGGGGCAGAGGCAGAATGAAAGCCCCATCCTCGGAGCCAGGCCCCCGGCGGGTGGAAATGGGCGATGCTCCATTGGAGCTTCACCGGGCGTAGAGTTGCCAGGTGTTCGAACACCCAGTCGAAAAGGGACCCACCCCAGCCCGGTGAACATGAGCGAGTGAGTGAGGGTGGGGGGAAGCGAGCGACGGAGGGAGGGGGGATGGAGTGAGCGGGGCAGGGCGGGGCCTCAGAGAAAGGGCGGGGCAAGAGTGTTCTGTTTTGTTCGGTCAGAAAGTTGGCAACCCTCTGCAACCAGCCCCCCCCCCCCCCCCCCGCCCCGGGAGGGGTCTGATGCTGAGCTGGGCTGCAGGATTCGCCTCCTTCAGATACGTCCCCATATGCTCAGCTACCACTGGGGTAGTAACCCAGGCTCCTGCAGGCAGGTCCTGCTTAGTGAAATCCTCCAGCAGGGGGCAGTGCAGGAAGGCAGCGGCCTGGGCAGCAGAGGGTTACTGCCGCAGGCCAGCCAGCTACAGGGGGTTTAAGTGCAGCTCTCTGCCTTCCCTGTGGGCCCTGGGGGGCAGAGAATAGCCACAGCGCAGGGAGCCCCAACCATGCCCCTGATCTGCCCCTCTGCCCCCAGACACCAGCTGGTGGCCATGGGAATCGAACCGGGGAGCACCACCCCTTAAAGTGCCTGAGCTAAGCCCTCAACCTCCAGCTCCCACTAGAGGGGGACAGAGCACCACAAAGTGGGCGTGGCACACACCGAATGGGCGTGGCTCACACCCAACCAATTGCAGGACTGTTGCCCCGGCACACCAAAGCGCTAGCGCCACTCCCTTCCTCACTGGAGATCAAAGGGGGATATTTTCCCCCCACTGCAAATTTCTTCTCGTCCTTGAAATTTTCCCTCCCCCCCCCAAAAAAACTGGATGATAGAAAAAAAATCGAGTCTCTCCCCCATTATCAAGCCCACCCCTGTGTTTTTAAACAACGAAAGGGAAGAACTCAAACCCTCTGAGAAACACCTCCGTGAAAAATCCTTCCTTTGGGGAACCGGCGGCGAGAACGCGACTTCCCACCTTTTCCACCCAGCGATTCCTCTCACGCCCCTTTTCCAAGCATCTCTAGGGACTGCGGATCAATATTTTAGGGGCCGGGTGCTTTATAAATGATATGCCTGAGCTCAGCCAGAAACTATGGTGGATTTCCCCCCCACACACACACACACCCACCCTGGACGTGTATAAACTTTTAAGCAGCGACCAACCCTAGATGATCACATATAAGGCCGGAAGGAACCACTGTGCTGCGCCTGGCCTCTTGGATAACTGGATTTCTGATCGTCCCTTCCGGCCATAAAATCCGTCAGGCCTTCTTGGAAGAACAAAACCCCAACGGTTTGGCCGCCGTCAGCGATCCCATCGGAGCCGGTTCTCCAGGCTGCTGCAGCCAAAATCAGTCTCAGCGACACCAGGGGGCGCTGCACCTTGAGGTGCCAGGGCAGGGGAGAACAAGCAGTGGGGCCCTGCTATTAATCCAGCAATGTCCAATGCAGGTGCCCCAGGCGTTCTTCACATGCTCAATTCTTGAAGACTTCCAGCAGGCCGGGTAATGCTCAGACAACCCACGCCACCTTGTGGCCAAATGAGCACAGCCCTTGCCCTTAGCAGGTGCCACGCTGGCCCATCGGCTGGCCTGCAGGAGTGGAGGGGAATAGGAGACATTCTTGTCACCAGAATGTTTGCCACACCAATTGTGGGGGGGGGAGAGATACACCAACCAGGGGGGTATCATTAAAGACCCCAGAACATTTTAACTATGATGTCCCCTCCAAATTCCAGTTCAAGTTACACCTTACCCCCCTCGATCCCCACGCACCAAGGTTCGGTCGCGTTGCTGTGTGCCGCCGTGACACGCTGCCCCCCAGAGGCAACTGCAGTTCAGGGAAGACACATGGACACTTGCAAGGCTGCTCGCAGGAAGCCCGGAGGTCCAAAGAACTCCGGTTCAGGATGCGACGGGTTGGATCACAGAAACCCCCCTGGGAGCTGCCAACTGATGTGCCAAGACTACCTCCGCTCCTGTTTTCCCTGCCAGCTCAGGACTCCAGCACCCTGTTTTGCTGAGCCAGACACTCCCGTCTGCTCCAACAAAGACCCAGGGTCTGAATTACTTGCCCCAAAGCTGCAGGTTTACCTGAAAACAGCTCACAGAAGTGTGCTTGTCTTTAGCACTCAGATGCCCAACTCCCAATGGGGTCTAAACCCAAATAAATCTGTTTTACCCTGTATAAAGCTTATACAGGGTAAATTCATAAATTGTTCGCCCTCTATAACAGTGATAGAGAGATATGCACAGCTGTTTGCTCCCCCAGGTATTAATACATACGCTGAGTTAATTAATAAGTAAAAAGTGATTTTATTAAATATAGAAAGTAGGATTTAAGTGGTTCCAAGTAGTAACAGACAGAACAAAGTAAGTCACCAAGCAAAATAAAATAAAATGCGCAAATCTATGTCTAATCAAACTGAATATGGATAATCTCACCCTTAGAGATGCTTCAGTAAGTTTTTTCCTCAGTCTGGACCCCTTCCAGGCCTGGGGACACAATTCTTTCCCCTGGTACAGCTCTTGTTCCAGCTCAGGTGGTAGCTAGGGGATTCTTCATGATGGCTGTCCCTTCTCTCTGTTCCACCCACTTATATATCTTTTGCATAAGGCCGGAATCCTTTGTCCCTCTGGGTTCCCACGCCCCACTTCTCAATGGAAAAGCACCAGGTTAAAGATGGATTCCAGTTCATGTGACATGATCACATGTCACTGTAAGACCCCAAGCCTTCATTCCTCCCAGCCTGACTCACAGGAAGGCTGCCTGCAAACAGAGCCGTCCACAGTCAATTGTCCTGGTTGATGGGAGCCATTAAGATTCCAAACCACCATTAATGGCCCACACTTTGCATAATTACAATAGGCCCTCAGAGTGATATTTCATATTTCTAGTTTCAGATACATGAGTGGTACATTTATACAAATAGGATGACCACAC